CTGGCCAAGCAGCGGGGGAAATATCGCCTAGCATGGTGAATCCAGCCATGAAAAGCATCAACTGCTATATCTCCACATGCGTCTTCCATAGCTTGGAAAAGGGGTATACGCGTTTCTGAATTTAGGTCGTACACTTTCCATCTCCAGGCAGAAAAAAATTCCTCAATAGGATTGAGGAATGGAGAATATGGAGGGAGATAAACAACTGAAAAGCGTGGGTGGTCAGTGAACCAGTTATGAACCAGAGCAGCCCGGTGGAAGCTTACGTTGTCCCAAATGACAACGTACCTGAGCTGCTCTGGGCCGTCTATCTGATCTGGTGGAATGAGTGTGTTGTGTAGGGTGTCCAGGAATGTGATCAGATGGGCAGTGTTGTAGGGGCCAAGGGTAGCATGGTGATGGATGATGCCATGGTCGGTCATCGCTGCACACATTGTGATGTTCCCTCCGCGCTGGCCAGGGACTTCAACAATGGCACGCTGGCCGATTATATTCCTTCCCCTCCTTCGTCTTTTTGTGAGGTTGAATCCAACCTCATCAATGAAGAAGAACTGGTGCTCCACTGCATCCACCTCCAGCTCAAGGACTCTCTGAAACACACATGACAATATCAGAAGTAGACATGGAGCGGTCTCTATTGTGAAGCACAATCATTATGATTACAATATAATAGAAAGAAATATGTATGATTTATACAATGTTGACAGTATGCATCAAAGGTGGGAATGTACTGTATAGGACGTACTTGCACATAGTTATATCGCAATTCTTTGACCCTTTCTGAATTGCGCTCAAATGGCACCCTGTAGACCTGCTTCATCCTCAGTTTATTTCTGTGCAAGACACGGTCCAGCGTTGATAAACTTACCCTATCAATATTTTGAAATATCTCATTGTTTTCTATTATTTTTCTTTGTATTTGCCGTAAGGTAATGGCATTATTTTCAAGAACCATGTTCATGATCTCTGTTTCCTGTTCAGGAGACAGAAGACGGCCCCGTCCACCTCTTGTTGGTAATCTTTCAGTTCTGCAATACAAAGAGTGCAATACTGTAAATACTGTGTAGGAATACATTTCCCAAATACTCGAAACACAATGTCCTACAGAACAGTCCACAGGTAATACTGTACTACTGTACTCATTGAGTACTGTATTGATATGCAGTACTGCAGTTTTGTAGTGAGAGTAGATTTCTTACCTATTCTCATTGCGGAAAGTCCGGATGATGGATGCTACAGTGTACCTGCTCAAATTTGGCTGTACTCTTTGCCCAGCCTCCCTCATTGTTAGGCCATGGTTGACCACATGGTCAACCAAAGTTGCTCGGATCTCATCAGAAATGATTGTCCTTGGCCTTCCTCGTCCTCGTCCTCCCCATCGTCCTCCTCTTACTCTCACTCCTCTGGCTCTGGCTCTGCCTCTGTTTACAACATTGGCCTCCATTGCTCCAAAACAGAAGAGCTCACCTGTTGCCCTTCTATGCTAAAGCTCTGATTGCTGAGTGGAAACATGTGTGTTAGGTGTTTGCCCATGTGAGGAGTCAGTGTGCATAGTAGGGAAATTAACTTTAGAGTTTTGAATAACAGTGTGTTCCTTGTGAAAACAAAAGATTTTCTTCATGACAATTGTGTGTAGAGTTTTGGAAAAAGTGTGTTTTAGAACTGCAATTTGAGTGTAAAGCAGGAATTGTGCTTGTAGTTTAGCAGAATTGGTTCAGGGGGTTGGTGCATGAGTTACATTTTGTGGTCATTGTGTTTCAAGTACCAATATTTGTGTGTAAACAATCGAGAAAAACTGTAATCCCTCTGGCTCTCTGCGCCGCTTCAATCTCACACCACATCTATCTTGTTTTTAGAGGGCTGACCCAAATACTCTAGTGTTCAAGAGACTCACTGCTTAAACTCTTGGGATTCAAAAGTCATCCATTCTTTAGCACTAGTCTGCTAGTCTGATTCCATCTCCTCCACACCCACACACAAACAGACTGGCACCACAACCCTAAGAACATTTACAGCAGAAAACAGCGTGTATCCTCCTTTCCTCGCATAAACCGAGTCAATATCAAACTGTGTAAAGCAACAATCTCCACTTTTTAAATTTTTTATTTCACTCTTCAGGTTCCACTTTAAAGTGCACTGACTCCACTCTGCTGCATCAAGGGGACTGGAGTGGAAGTAGGCATGAAAGTGAATTAGTGGGTTGTAGGTGAATCTGAATATTTCGTCAAGTTGGAGGACATAGTTGATGTTGTTGACCAAGTTTACTTTTATCATCAATCCGTTCATAGTCATAAAACTGTAGCAATCACTTAAAAAAAACACAAGACTCTTTAGAAATCCCGTAGCTTAAAAGTGGTGATTGCAGACTTTTTTTTTTTGAGAAAAAAAAAAAGGCTTTGTTAAAAAGACACTTTTTTACTTACAAGAGAAAAGACTTTTGAAAGTTACATCAAAGCTTGTGCTTCTGCACATTAGAAAACTGTTTCCCATTTCAAATACATGCTGTACATAGCTTTTAACAAAGCCGGTGTTAGATTCTCATGTTATAAAAGCCTTAGTAAACATGCAGCAGTTTACACAGTATTACAATATAGCTTGTTCAGCGATTGTCCTATCTACTAGCGTGCAGTGAGCAGCCTTACAGACCTTCCACTCTTACCTTCTCAGCTACTCTCAAGTAGCTTTTCAGTACCATATATATTCATACTGTCAGAGATGAGACGACCTATGAACAGTACTAACAGCCAATGAGCTGAAACAAGGAGAGAACGGACCAATTACCAAGTTCTTGCTCTTTAACATGAGAGCGTCTGTGATGTGTACAAATGATTCCCCTTAATTCAAACAAACTGTAATGGGATAATTGGCATCATAGTTTTTATGAATATAACCATTCTGATGAATCAAATCAGTTTGACCTATTAACAATTGACTTAATACCCCTTACGACTATTTCTAAATTTAATTCAATGAGTAAAAAATGTAAAAAATATATATATATTAAATGATAAAGCGTTACAATTTTTTCTTTGTCTTAAATACGAGTACCATGCAGCTGCAGGTGACTCTGAGGAATAAAAAAAAGTCATACAACAGTTTTAAATGTCAAAATACAAAAATATTTTTTTTTTTATAGGAGCTGCTCTAATAAAGATAGTTTCTTTTGGCTGATCTTAAGTTTTTTTGGAGTTAAAGGTTCAAAATTAAAGATTGGTTCAAGCTACAAATTGATCCAGGTAAAAATTCTCAAGCCCCCTTCAACTCAATTCAGAATACATTTATTTTCCTCAACCAACAGGCAAACACTTGCTCAGATCCGTTTGATAATCAGACCCTGAAATCCCCTTTAGCCAGAGTGATGCATTAACATGCCCCCACACTAACAACCTCAATATTTGTCAAGATTAAAGGTAATCTTCTACAAACATTTAGATTGACAAATGATACACGTTACTGATTTTTCCTTTAAATTATCCCCAATCTACTTCAGCTCTACAGCTCCTGGAGTGTTTGCTTTGGTTTCTTTAATGAAACAGTGATTCATTACACTCAAACAAATTCACCAAAAGCAATCTGAGGTGAGTCTGACAGTAAAAAAAAAAAAAAAAAGAATGTTGAGGGTAATGTTTGCAGATGTGCGTTTACCAAATTTGACTCCCAGCAGAGTTTGTCATTCATTTGGCTAATTATCGCTATTTGACTTACACTCCTCTGAATCCTGTAATCTCTATAAGAGGCGACTCACTCTGGCAGATCACCTCGGATTTGTGGAAATATCAATACTTGTGTTGGGCTCTGCTGGCTGCCGTCTGGGCCTGAACAACGCAAATGGAAGATGCTGGTTATTGAACACAGTGATGGGCTCAAACTGTCACTGATAGTGTTGCAATTTACCAGTTTTCAAATCCCTGTAATCAATTCCACACTATACTGTTATATCGACATTTAATCAGTAACAGCAGCAGATCACGTTGCCAATCAAGATCTGAGTGCAGCTTATTTAAATTGCCTCTGCTCAATTAAGATGACACCAACCTGTTAATGAGTTCCCAATACCTCTTAATTCAGCTGTTGATAATATCATGCATAACTTTCTTTATTATATTCGCTATTCTTACTGCCTCATAATGGTCCCTGCCTAGTTTGCATTGTCAGGCAGAGTATAGAGCCCCGTATGAACTCTTAAATAATAAAGTTATCCTAAGACTTATTAATTCTAAATAAGACTTATTAATTCTTAATGTTAGATCATATTTATTTTTCCTCAATGGATTATTTTATGATGGATTAAAATTCTGAAAACATTCAATTTCGCTTTTATAGCTACTGTTTTGGCAGGAATAGATTAATCCCTAAATTTACCCAATATTCAACCATGTATGTTTTATTTTGTCTCTAAATTGGTAGCAACATATGTTGAAATAACGGATCATTGCAGGTCTATCCATGTAAGTGAACTCCTGAGGATTTGATTATTAATCTTGTTACTTTGATTATTAATGGTTTTATTTAATAATCTCTTCACTTTTTAATTATAAATCCTTCTTAAGACCCTTGTCTTTCCCTTTGCTTTTGACAAATTCTAAGATGTTGACTATTATTGGTGATTTTATATACCACTTTGTATATTGCTTTATGATTGATCATTTGTAGTTTATGACTGTGTGTAATACTGTGGTCCTATTGAGTGGTTAAATTGCTTTGTATATAAATTTGGTATGGAATTAATGGGTGAAAAGAAAACCCAGGAAATGAAAACCCTGCTTTGAAGATATTTCTCTTCAGACAGGACTGCCAAACATGTTTCTTATTTTGTTATTATTTATATTAATCTATTAGAGAAAGTTTATAATAGAAAGCCCACATTACAATGTGTGTATTAATATTTCCAGCTTTTTTTTAAAGCAAATTCAAAATCCAATTTGTTTTCATCTGTTCACTGTTATGTTGACTCCCCCATCAATTTTAACTGTTTTTTTCCCCCCCTCTCTGTCTCTCAGGGTGGAGGTCGCAGGATTCCAGACCAGTGCAGCATATTAAAATATAACTCCAAATTTTGGAAAAAAGAGACAGTCTTCATTCTCCTAATAATGGCTCCTGCTTGCACTGCCAAATCTGATGCCCGGCTCTTCGTGCTGTTCCTTTGCCTGACTATACACACTGGGATTGCTGTAGCAACTATACAAGGATATATTGGAGACATAGACATGACTTGCCCATCTGTATGCAGGTGTGATGAGGATTTTATCTATTGTAATGATCGTGGGCTGAGCTCCATCCCCTCCCTGCCTCCCTCTGCATCTGTCCTCTACCTGCAGAACAACCACATAAACAACCCAGGCCTCCCCACCTCCTTGGAGCGTCAGCTGTCTGTACGAGTTGTCTACCTCTATGATAATGAGTTGGATGAATTTCCCATACACCTTCCGCCATCTGTGCGGGAGCTGCATCTGCAGGACAACAATATTCGCACCATTCCTCGTAGCACGCTGGCTCGGATGCCCTTGTTAGAAAAGCTACACTTGGACGACAACTCTATTTCCACTGTCTCCATTGAAGATCAAGCCTTTGCTGACAACCCACGGTTACGCTTGCTTTTTCTTTCACGCAATCACCTGTCTAGTATTCCCTCAGGACTTCCAGCTTCTTTAGAAGAACTACGTCTGGATGATAACCGGATCTCTACTATCCCTACACATGCTTTCCGAGGACTCAACTCATTAAGGTGTCTTGTTTTGGATGGGAACCTTTTGGCAAACCAGCGCATTGCAGATGACACATTTTCTCGCCTTTCTAACTTGACAGAGTTGTCCCTTGTGCGCAATTCCCTCCAAACTCCACCCGTTAACCTGCCAAGTGCCCATTTACAGCGACTCTCTCTACAAGAAAATGCATTGACCCACATGACACGTGGGTCCTTGGACGGCATGCACAGGTTGCAGAGGCTGGACTTGTCAGGGAATAACCTAACTACACTTCCAAGGGGACTTTTCAAAGACCTTGACAGTCTTGGTCAACTTCTGGTGCGTGGGAATCCTTGGCACTGTGGTTGCAACCTGAGATGGCTCTATGATTGGCTCCGTGCCCGTGGTAACACCATTACAGTCAGAGGCCTCACTTGCCATGGACCAGACAGAGTCCGAGACATGGCTTTGATTGACCTGGGGAGTGAAATGGAGGAATGTGAAGTAGTAAGACTGACAGGGAATAAAGACAAAGGCGCTGTAGGTGGAGGTGAAAGCTCTACAACCAATGCACCACCCCAGGGTTCCCTCTTCACTCTACGCTCAAAGAGACCCGGCTTTGGGTTTCCTGACTCTGGATTAGACTACACGCTTAGTAGTAGTGGTGTGGGGAAGAGCTTGGCTCTAAACGTAAAACCTCTTTCTCATAACAGTATTCGGGTGACGTGGAGTGCAGCTCAGCCAAGTTCCTCTTTTAGGTTAAGTTGGCTCCGACAAGGTACTGGAAATGCAATGGAATCAATCACAGAGACCCTTGTACGGGGGGATCGACAAGAGTATCTGCTGACATCCCTGCAACCACGCTCCAGCTACATAATTTGCATGGTGCCACTTCCTGTCACTTCAGAAAGTAAAGTTGCAATGTCTGGAGACGCTGACACTGATGAATCTTTAGTTTGTGCAAAAGCAGAAACATCAGACCTTAGTTCAATTGAGGAGGAAGACAATGAGGAATCGCAGCATATTACAGTGCTACCCTTAGCAGGGATTATTGGCGGAGCTACAGCCACTGTGTCTCTGGCTCTAATTTTTGGCGTTTTCTGTTGGTACGGACATAGAACTGGACATTTATGTTCTCGTGACCACTACACTCGCAGTAGTTCAAGAAAAAGTAAAACATATGATGATTACATTGAGTCTGGCACCAAGAAGGATAATACTATCCTGGAGATTCGTGGTCCAGGTTTCCAAATGACGCCAATGCCGGCTTGCCAGCCAATGCAACCGAAACCCCTACGAGAGGATTACATCATTCACACCATATTCCCCTCCAATGGCACTGGCGTATACAAAGGGTCCAACCATGTTTCTAATGCTGGACATGGCACCAACCGTGGCTATAGAGAAGGAGGAATCCCAGATATAGACTACTGCTACACATGATGTATTGTACCAGATGCTGTTCATAGTATAATTGGTAAAACTATATAGATGCACAATTTCCCTTGGCATGGACACTTACGAAGCACCCCTTTGTGCCTTCTTCTTCTGGTCTCCCATTCCAAATGACCTATTGTTCATTACTGAGAGGACTGGATACGATTAACTGAACTGTGTGGGAACAATCCACTGCAGGAGGCAGCAGCCAGTGCCCCAGGTGTAAATGCACAGCTGCGTGTTTCTTCGCCGTCTAAGTAATTGCCTGTGTATGATTCGTATTTTGCTCTTTCCCTGTGACATGTAAGAATGTATCTTTTGTGGAAAGGTCAAACTTAGCGTGGGCGAAAGTGGAGTTTCTTTCTCACTCATGGGAGCCGCAGCAGTCAGCTCAAAATGGATCCATTAATGATGAAAAACAGACATTTTTTTCCTGCTCACCATTCACACACAGTATGTAGTCTTATTGACTCATTGTTCTGAATGCCTCAACTATATTGATGTGCCCTACCAGCTACCCCAGCAAAGGGCTTTGTAAAGCTGTGAATTGTTCTATTTTAAACAACCCAATAACCACCTGTCTTAAAGTAGGCTTGCTATTTCCTTATTCAGTAGATGGCAGGGATGAGATATTACGAGGGCTGGTCAGCTTTGGTGTTACCTCTTGCGATCATTTTACCTGAGATCAGTAAGGTAGTGCTGCAGCACATGTGTGTATGTTATTTACCATCATCATTACTGATTAGGCTGTATTTGAACAATGCTATTTGCTATTTTCTTTGTCAGGTGTTTGTTTCATGATGAAATTATTCACAGCTGTCTTTATTTATATCACCTTTTTGAAATGAGTTATGTCTGCTTATGAAATCCAGCTCTCATTGGAGATTGTGGTGTTTTGTTTTTTTTTTAGCAAGGAAAAAAAACACATTACTAGCTGTCTTCAGATATCTGTTTTTTATTTGAAACATAAATGTGAATCCTTGATTGAGTCTCTTTGTACTGTTATGTAGTTAAAAAAGAAAACAAAAAAAACAAACCCACCCAAAGTTTAGCATGTTGACTCTTAGAGCCTGTAGAAAATGACCTCGGCTGCTTTTTTTTCCAAATGTTGTGTCCGTGTGCTTCACCTTGTGACCTCGGTTGCTGACTTTTGATTTGTAAACTGTTTCTGCCCCACCAACCGTCTGACTGAGTGGACAAACTAATAACGCAGAGCCTTCTGCTGGAGGAAAACTCTTGTGAGTGACCTAGATGAGGCCAAGAACTGTGAGTGCATTTGAGAAGACACCAACCGCTACACTGTTGACCTACACTGTGGGAAGGTGGCAAAGCTGTGTGGGCGGGTGAACAGGAGTTGGGTGGGGGGGCTTGGGAGGGTGGGGTGGCTCATCAGTGATTGCAGTTCACTGAAGTTTGTTTAAGTGATGGGAGAATGGCCTCCACTCATTCCACCTTTTTTATGACTGAGCAGCACTAAAAATGTAAATGTATTAGCACTTAGCAGGGAGGAGGGATAAAAGTAACGACAGGTATGGGGAGACGGAGGGCAAAGACACAAAGCTGTGTACTCAGAGGTATACAAAATTGATGGCTGCTGCACAGTTGGGTTAAGCACTGCATAAATCTGTTTGTCATACCTGGATGCTACCCCTGGGTTTATTATTGTCTATCAGTTGTTTATCACTGTGTTGCTTCCAAAGGGGAAACCGTTTGTGCTTCCTTGACTGTTCTGTCCGGCAGAGTTTTGAACTGGTGTCAGACATTATGTCAGTGGAATGTAAAATTTACCTTGCAACCAAGATTACTGTCTTAAACAAATCCCCTTGGCCTGGATATTTTTTTGTTTTGGGGAATGTTGATATAGTGTAATTGTGTTTTTCTTTTTTTCTTTTCTTTTTTTTTTTTTTAAAGTGAGTCTGTTAAAGATGCATTTGTATAAATAAAACCATGGCCACAGCCACACAAATCATATTTTTGTTCCTGGTGAAATTATAAAAAGTAACAGTGCCATGATTTTGCGTTCAAAAAATTATGTAAACCTGAGATCTGTGTGGAATTTGCTTTATAAATTCATCTTCAGAGGGGATTAATAAAAAAGTTTTATAATCTTGTTATTACTGCAACCAGTCATTTAACCTGACCCCTGTTGAGATTTTCTTTTAGTGGCTCTAGAAGCACTGGAGGAGAACACATTTCTATCTGAATAGGCTGTCTTCCAGCATAACCCTTACCAACATATTGTTTTAGTTTGAAGGAGGCCTAATATAGGCTTTGATAAAACATACCACAGCCTAGAGCCACAGGCTTGAAACTGGCTGAGAATATATGACAGAGGATGCAAGACTCTTAACAGACTGCTGCCTAGACATGACCTTATGGCCTTGTTCAAACTTGACATTAACATGTGTGGACAGTTCTCAGTACAGATGTGTGAATGTTGCAGAGAGGCAGCAAAGAAGCACTTAGTGAGACTCCGTCACATACCGCTGGATTCTTTTAGCAGCTAGTCTCCATGGCGATGATACAAAACACCAAAATAGATTTCTTTTTAACACTTATTCAAAGCCATGTTTTATCAAAAATATTTTTAACCAGAAGTTGACACATACTTACACTCACCGGCCTTTTCAATTTGAACTTCTTGCTAGAACTGACTCAGGCCCCATTTTACCCTCTTTATGATTTACACAATAGATTCAATTAAATGTTAAAAACATATATTTTTTTTTTGGTCCATGTAGACATAGCATTTGCTCTACCTTTATGATAGAATATTCCGAAACTAGATGTAGTTCTGCTCCAAAGATAGCTGAAAATCATAAAAGTGTCTCTATGTGCTGATACGGCTGGTCCATATTAAATACCATGCATGAAATGTGCATTACACATGTATGTTCATCTAAACAACAACCTGACTTAATAGGTCCATGTTCTCAAAGATAAGATCTGTTTGCATCATGTAGGTTTGGAGGACAAAATACCACCTGCTTAAAGCCTGCTATAATTTTACCACAGGAAAAATAAATATTGACCAGAAACACTGCTGGCTTCACAGAAACCTAAAAGAGAGTTACTATGAACTGTCTCTTCCAGTGTGGTGAGCCTGATATCTTCATACATCTTTGTTTCTAATAGAAAAAACCCACTTGAAGCTATCACGAAAGATGTTCTTTTTCCAGGTGGATAATCGAAATAATTGTCAATCATTCTCGTTATAAGTTTATGTAAGGCTGTCCTACATGCTCATCCCCATTTCACTTACCAGTGGTGAGGCTGATATAGTGGAAAAATTGAAAATTTATTTTGAAAGTAAGCTTGTATGAGCGATGCAAACAACTTTAAAACAGAGCGTGCACAAGGAGAAATGGGCTAGTGCATGCTCTCGCATGTGTTTAATAAGCGTTCCCTCTCGGGTACAGGGTCGGACATGTCCATTTTTTGTTTTAAGCGGAGAGGGTCTTTTCAACAATTGGCTGAAATCCTCCATTATACCTTTAAATTGTTTTGTAAAACCTTTTCAAAGTGCTTCACTTAAATTATCAAATTCCCACTAATTTGGGTAGCTGCTGAAGTTCACGGGTAAAAAAAAGGTTGAAAAGTATAAAAGTTCCTCTCCTCACTGCATTGTATGATTGATGAAGTTGGCTTCATTTATCCAGTGCAGGTGAAAGTTGGGACATTAGATAAACAAGTACACCCCAACCTTCCCCTAAATGTTTATTTCTAATCAAAATCAGTGCTGAAACTTTTTCTTTTTGCCACCCCTACTGTTTTGTTCAACCTCCTTTTAGGACAGCGCATTGTGTTCCTTTATATAGTAAGGATGAAGCATGCAGCGGAGGATGGGGTTTGGGTCTTTGACGGTATCCTTTTTTTCATAATTTCTCTAACTCATTAAAACCTTGTCCTCTTTCCATTTTTTCTGTTTCCAAAGACTAACAAATTTATATATACAGAAACAGGCCCACAGCATCACAGATCCTCCATCATATGTAGAGTATGAAGAGCATTTTTTCTTTTCTATTGAAAGTATTAATCTTTGTTACCTCCAACCCAAACATAAACTTATAAAACATTTAAAGTGAGTGAAGTATGCTGTTGAGTATTTGTATGAATAGAGAACACCAATATTTGAAGATAAGCAGTCAATGTTCACTCCAATAAGGAAACTCACTGACACTTTCTTCAAATTAGAGACAAAATTATACATCAGGGGTAAAAACAGAAACAAGTAGAGAACCAAAATCTAAACATGCAGGGTTGATAGCAGCAGGCTAACATGCATAGAAAGAAACAGGAAAAGAAATTCAAATAGTTGAGGGATTTACTGAGAAAGAAACAGATGGTGGTTAAGATAAATTGATTAGAAACAGCTGACAGAGAAACCTGAGGAAGGAGTTACCTGCAGGGTATGTTAAGAGGGAATGACCAAACACAGACTAACCTAATTTAACTAGATGATGACACAAAAACTAAGCAGAACATAAACCAGTACAACAATAAGGCTAATGTAAAAAAAAAAAAAAAAAAACATTAAAAAACAGGAGGCAATAGAGACAATGCCTTCAAATATAAAATAAAAGCCCTGCTGCTCAGAACTGCATACTTAAAAAAAATATATATATTGTTTAAAAGAGTTATCCATGAAATTCTTCTTTTTTTTTTCCAACTGCCCTCCAAACAACTGGTATTCATGTAAATTGCATATGATGGTTGTTACGGAGACGTGGTGACCCCAAAATGTCGCCTTTTCTTCAGCTTTCTGTCTGAGCTTTGAAGAATTTATTTTTACCTCCTTTATCCTCTTCCTCACTGTGTGCAATTGGGAAATAAACTTTGGTTCTTGTCCAGACTTCTTTGTCACATTTTTAACTTGATAATGATTTCTGTCTGTGGATTTTGGTAAATTTGGGCAAAAATCTTTTTTTTTGTTGCAGTCACTGCCTGAAAAATGAAGATCGACACACATCTGGCTGACTTGAAAGGCATGAGAAATAGGGCCTCTGTGTGAAGGGAAAGAGGTCAGAATGTGTTACTCATCAAAAGATACACCGACATTTAAATCAACTTAAAATAAGAAGTAGATGCTTCATGCTGCATTGGCTGGGTGTATAGTTATTTAATTTTCTTTAATGCAACTTCAGGTTCTGACTGTCAAACAGTTGATTTCAACAGAGATGCAATGTGCGGCAATTTCATTTATTTTTAAACAAGCCAGCGTAGAGTGCTGGGGGCAACTCCAGCCCTCAGGCTGCTATTAGAAATTGTTTCAATAATTATATTTTGCACAGAGCAGCAGATGTTAGTGGTAAACATTACAGACCTGCCCTGAAATCTGGTTGAGTCCAACAGCTGGATTTTAGATTTGCAGGAACAAAAACATCTTTACCATTTAACTATTTATAACTTTTTTGAATAAGTAAC